TAATTAATTTTAAATAATAATGAAATAATTTATATATTATAATATTAATTGACCATTAATTATTTCGACAGATTCGTAACATGTTTGTACAAGTTTTGTTTTCGGTCACATTTGCCCTTTCATGTACAATGTTTGAATTAATTATCTTTGAAATACTTGGCATTATGGACTCAAAGTAAACCATTAATTTTAACTCTCATCTCCTCATGCACATCGTCACTTTCTTTTATTTTTTTCTAGTTCACGTTATTTTCATTGGCAGCTTAACCTCTACCTCATACTAGTTACTCTGATTGTGGTAATCCCATTGTACATATCAAGCCAAATAGCCAGAGTCCTTCCTTGTGGTACGTGCACATAATGTACATGTACATGTATGAATTAGCTTGTGCTGGGTTTCCCACAAGGCATGCTAAGAGTTTTATGTATAGCTGAGAAACTTTATAATAGCATATGGCTTGTCGGGTAACTTTAAAAATTTGTAAAAAATCCAAATTTGATTGGAATCAGCTCAAACTTGATAAATGACATAAGAACATGTATGTGTATCAGAAAAAATTATAAAAATGAAGAATTCTCTCCTAGTCATTTTTGACGAAATTCGGCTAACGACCAAAGGCTATAGCCTTTGGTCCTTGGCCCAATTTTTGAGTAATTTTAAAAATTCATAAAAAATTTAATTTTGATTGGAATCAGCTCAAACTTGATAAACAACATAAGAACATGTATATGTACCAGAAAAATTTATAAAAATGAAGAATTCTCTCCTAGTCATTTTTGACGAAATTTGGCTAACGACCAAAGGCTATAGCCTTTGGTCATTAGCCCAATTTTTGATTAATTTTAAAAATTCATAAAAAATCCAATTTTGATTGGAATCAGCTCAAACTTTTTACACAACATAAGAACATGTATATGCATCAGAAAAAGAATAGAAAAGTGGAGAATTTTTTCTTGCCATTTTTGACGAAATACTCTGTACTGTAACCCATAGTTTTGGCCCAATTTTTGAGCTGAGCATTGTGCCAAAATTTTGTAGGGAAACTCTGAGTTTGTGTATTAATTTATGCTGTTTATCTTTCTGTAGTACGTAGGAAAATGTCAATATGGGTATCTGTTGCAATTTGGCTGGTTTTTATTTATTTCTTTTGGAAACTTGGAGACCCATTTCCCATTTTAAACCGGAAACACGGTACAGTACACAAGCTATGATGCCCTAGTCTTTATTGGTTTGTAGGTATTTTCTCAATTGAACAGCCGATAAGTAGAGTAGGAGTGATTGGTGTAACAATAATTGGTATATTGTCTGGTTTTGGTGCTGTCAATGCCCCCTATACATACATGGCCTACTTCATCAGGTAAGTATATCCATCAGGACTACAACTGAGCATTCTTATAGGGACTTCAAACTAACACTGCATTACTTACATGTACTTGTACTATATGGCACATAGTATGCATATATAATATATTGTGTGCACTTTTAGTTTCTCATAAAGTTATATATTCTTGTTTTATTCAGAAATATTGATGATTCAGAGATTTCAAATTCAGAGAGAAGACTACTGCAGACAATGGACATGATCATCTCAAAGAAGAAAAGGTTAGGGGAATTGATACCCTAAATAATATGATTGCTCTATTCCATCAGAATTGCTCTAGCAAAGAAAGAGAAGTAAAGTTTTTATGAGTAATGATTACGATTATTATTAGTCAATTAATTTTTGTAGTAGTTTAAGATATCAAGATGACAGTGTGTCACAGAGTGGCGGAGGAAAGAGGATGATGAAAATGTGGAACATATTCTCTGGAATAAGCTCTTCAAGTTCAGAGAGTAAGAAATGGTATCCAAATCTCTCACACTTGCTCTCTCCTGACTTCTCTTTCTCCCTTTCCCCCAATTTTCCTTCCCTTCCCTTCCCCCCCCTCTCTCTCTGTCTCTCTTCCTCCCTCCTCCTCTTTCTCTCTCTCTTCAGATATCAGTGCATTGCAAACTGAAGTGGCCAGTCTTGAAGAGTTAAGTAGACAAATGTTTGTGGACTATGTTGACTTAAGAGAGACAAAGGTTTCATTATTTATTTTACCTCAAACTGAAGCTCATTTCTGTATTTCTTTCTCTTCTCATATTTTCATTACATTATAGGATAGAGTGGTGTATTCAAAGACTCTTAAAGGTCGCTATTATGACATTGTTGGCCACTTTTTTTCTATTTATTGTGTGTACAAGATCATTATGGTGAGGGAAAGTTTTCATATGTGTATGTTTAGATATGATTATCTTATCTACATTGTAGTGTACTATTAACATCATTTTTGATAGGGTTGGAAAAGTTGGTATGTCACATGCATTCATAACTGAATGTCACATTATTCACATGAATTGATAATTGATATTTGTTTACATAACTTTATACATTTTCCCATCAGATCCTGTTACTAGAGGCTTGTCTATCTTAGTCAACTGGCTTGGATTTAAAGTTGATGTGAGTTTCCTTTAGGAACTATTTTGTCATTTCTTGTGGTACTAATTAGGTTTTATTTTGGTCTCAACATGTTTCTTTCATATTAGTTGGTATTATTGTCATTACATCAATAAGAGGTCTACTAATCACTCTCACTAAAGTACAGCTATTATTATTTCATATACTTTTTATTGAGACCTTTTTGTAGTTTTTCTATGCCATTGCAAGCAGCAAGTCTTCAAATGCTATTGTCTTATGTCTAGCAGAAGTTATGGTATGTCAGTACATACGGTAGCATTGCCATTGGTACACTTGATGATATCATTGTTATAGGGTATGTATTTTGTGTTGTCAGTCCTTCTAATGAGAATGAATGTTCCAGAAGAGTATAGGTAACTGTGTTAATGACAATTGAGGCTCTACCTTAATCTGTTCTTTATTCTGAAAGGACTATCATCACAAGACTTTTGGGGCAGCTTGACTTCAGTTTTTATCATCGTTGGTTTGATGTTATATTTTTAGTGAGTTTAATAGTTTAATGCTGTTATTTACATTTCTTATATGCATTAGGTCAGTGCTTTAACTAGTATTGTATTCCTTTATATTGCTCACCAGCAGTCATCAAGTAAACGAACAGGATAACACATACATTACTAATGATTTCTTAATAAAATTGTTATTATTTTAATTTCTCAATTTTTTCAGGGTTACAATTCACTAATTGCTACCTGAAAAATCATTAATAATTTTAAACAAAATCAAAATAATAGTAACTACAAAATTCATTCAAAAAATTAGCACAAAAATTAGTCAAAATGATTATTTAGTATTAACAGTTTTATTATTATTGATGCTACCATAATTAGCAGCAACAGTATTGTCTTGAGGATCATACTCTACTGATAAATCATCCAGTCTAACACGAACATGTTGTTCATCATATTCTTGTGGATTCTCCATACGATCAGCAATCCAATCATCATCGTTACCAACTAATGGCTGATATTCTTGTTCTTGAATTCTAATCGTGTGATAGTGTCGCCGACAATAGTCATCACAATGAATCAGCATCCGAGATAACTGGTATATTATATAGCATAATAATATAAAAAATAATGGGCAATTGAAAGATAAAATAACTATATTTCCATCAACATAAGAATCCTCATTAAATCCTGCTACACATACAATAATGTAATAAATAAAAAAAATAGCTACAAAAACTAAAACTAGTACTTCACAGAAATTATGAATATTTCTTTGAAAAGGACGAAATATAAAAACCATTAAAGCAAGTAATAAAACTAAAGAACATGGTATTATTAAATTTATGAACAATGAAAATGATATCCTTACATCTACATATTTTAATATGAAAGAACCAAGCAAAAACTGACAAAAACAAATAAGTATTTTTAATAATAAA